CATATTTCGTGAAAATTTTGTCTAATCCGATGGAACAGTCATCCATAAAAGAGTCATCGTTCATGGAAAGGGGCATGTTCATAGTTTCTAATAAGTAATTAAGATAAGTTAAGTCCGTCTTTAACTCAGTGACTTACCTAGCAACTATTGGTTGATATACTGAACCCGATTTAACGAAATAAGCCGTTTGAATTACAATAAAACAACAAAACACAAAGTCTGTATTTCCTGACTCCGATGTGCAAACCACACAAAACAATCTGCATGTATTCGTGTGTGCTGACAAAGAATCTAATATTTTAATCTGTGTCTGCAAACACTATTACATTGTCTTCTTGCAAAAACAGAACTAGAATGCTTGATAACCAATGTAACCCTATCTATTTACTTTCCAAGTTTTCAAGAGACGCTAATCACCCTTCTGTATTAAAATCTTCTCGAACACAAGTCACGTTAATGATAATGATACGGACCTGCCTCCTTTGCATTGGATTCCGAAACTTCACAAGAATCTTTATAAATAACGTTTTATCGCGGGCTCATCTTCTTGCTCAGCATCATGGAAAGTTCTGATACCATTATTTGTCCATTTAATCAGGATCACAGTCGTATTGTGACTGGGTAAGTGGAATAAATGAAATATTGATTTTGAAGAATTCAAAAGATCTATTGATCAGTCTTGAACATCCTCGATCTTTTCAAAAAGAAGGGCGAACAGCGGTATAAATATAGTGTTACTTGTACAGCATTTCGTGAAAAGCATAACAAAGGCTAAAATAAATGATTGAGTTCCAGGTTGACGATATCTTTGTTAAGTTCAGTGGCAAGACTTTCCGTCTGTGTTCAAACTGTATGCATTCCAATAGAAATAAACCGTGTTTTTGTTTTCATACGAGGCTAAAATCATTGTTGACCGATCAGAACAAAAAAACTATCAAAGTCCTTCAATTTTCTTTCAGGTATATCGACGATGCGCTGCGCTGTATTAACCTCCTGAACCTGAAATTGGGGACACAGCAGTCTCGTCTACCTCAGTACTCGATCATAACATTATGAAAAGGGACCATTTACAACTACGCTGTACGATGAAGGGACCTTTTTTCCGATCATAAAATCCTCACAGTTACATTCTTGGTTCTTCCTGTTGCAGTTGATTCGGTCATCGGTCCAAATACATGTGGATATGTTGGATAAATTCATGACTTCATTATGATATAGATGTCGACTGCTGACAACAAATTAACAACACAGGGTTTCAAAAGCTGCAGGTTAATGTAGGCTATTGACAAGTTGTATGTTCGCCATCATGATGATATAGGAAAATATGTTTTTCGTTGTGTGACATGGAGGTCGATATTTTTTATTATGGTCATTAGAATGGTTTTGTTGTCACAATCCAAGTTCTAATTTAGAGGTGGTGACATAACTTGTATTTGACCGAGATTTCCATGCCGTGTGTCGTCGATCAGCTGGTCATATCCTTCTTGTATTGTTTTCAAGGTCTCCATCTCCATTCGTGTTTTGTTCTTGGTTTATTCACATTTCACTTTGGTTTTGTTGAGCTTTCTCTTTTTTAGTAATAATATGTTGGATAACAATTCGTGTTTATTCTACTTTAACATTATTTTATGAAATATTGTCAGTGGCATCTAGTTGAAAATATCTGCTAAAATCCCCACATTTAAATCATTACCACTCATTCATTTTAAGAAACTTGCATATGTTTTCGTACTATTTGTATTTCTAATTATAAACCCACTGGTATTTATATCAATTGCTTTTTTTAAGCTTTAAAATTGTTGTCATTAAACAAACAAAAAAACCACACATTTACCAGTCAATGTTTACGTGCATACACAGGATTTATATCCCAGCTACGCCCCTGATGTGTGACCAGAGGATCCTCCAAGAAAATGAGTTTGAGAATGACATGGCAGATATTAACATTACAGTCAATGGAGTGTTTAATCCATCAAAGGCAGCCGGACCAGACAACTTGAAGCCACGAGTCCTCAAGGAACTTGCGTTTGTCACCACTCTCTTCAATAAGTCATTGCAGCAGCAACACCTACCCACCATCTGGAGGAAGGCAAATGTCGAACAAACCAGCTAATTATAGACCAGTGTCGCTTAGCTGCGTTCTGTGTAAACTGATGGAGCACACAATGTGTAGCCAACTAATGAAACACCTTTTCCCACCCACTCCAGCACGGATTCGAAGAGAAGAGGAGTTGTGAGTCACGACGTATTGAATACACATCGGAAATTGTCAACAACATGGAAAAAGGAACTCAGACCGATGTAATTGTGATGGATTTCTCGAAGGCTTTTGACAAAGTAGCTCACAATAAACCCCTATTCAAACTGACGAAGTATGGTGTGAAGGGTAACACACTAGGATGGATACGGTCTTTCCTCAGTGGCAGACAACAGATCAGCTAGAAAGTCGTCCTTAATGGAAAAGCCTCTAAAGAAACCCCAGTTCTACCCAGCGTGCCACAGGGCTCGGTCCTCGGACCTGCCTTGCTCCTAATGTATATCAACGACCTACCGGAGTATGTAAAGCATAGTACCATCAGACTCTTTGCGGACGACACACTGATGTATCTTACCATAAAAACGAATGAAGACACTTACAAGCTCCAATCCGACCTCGACAGACTAGCAAACTGGGCAGATAGATGGCAAATGGAGTTTCATCTGGAAAAAAGTCATGACCATCTCCAGAAAAAGTAACACCACCCGCCATACCTATTTCTTGTGCGGTCGACAGCTAAACACAGTACCAGACATCAAGTAACTTGGCATTACAGTCACCAAATACTTAACATGAAACAATTACAGACGCTTGGGTTCCTGAAGAGAAACCTAAAGGTCCGATCCAGGATAAAGGAGAGGGCCTATTTGGGACTGGTTCTACCGAAAATGGAGTACTGTGCTACCGTATGGGACCCTAAAGCAGTGAGAGACTTCCATCCACACTCCAACAAGAAACATGCCCAAAGTCAAGATAGAAACGGTACAGCGACGTGCAGCATCCCGGTGGGTCCTCAACAGACATAATAACACCTCCAGTGTCACGGACATGCTATCAGATCTAGGATGGAGGTCACTGGGACACCGACGTGCTATCAGATCTAGGACGGAGGACACTGGAACACCGAGGTACTGACGCCAGACTGACAGTATGTTATACAATCCGGAACAAGCTGGTAGCCATCAACCCGAAGGATGAGCTCATCTCGGCGCAGAGGCCGTGAGCACCAGTACCGGCAGATCAAAACCACCAAAGGCTATACCAGATCATCTTTCTACCCTCGGACTGTAATCTAGTTGAACAGCTTACCAAGAGATGTGTGCAATGCCCAATCCCTGGAGATCTTCAAGACAGAAGAGAGTCCCGATATCAGCCCGAGGCGCCAAAGGCCCCGAGGGCTGATACGGGACCGAGGGCTGATAAGGGATATGAAAGCAAAATGGTCATATTATAAACTTTTTATCATATGTTCAAGTAACAAAAAATTAAGTCAACAGGAAAAACAATTAGATAATTTTGTCAACAATGTCAACTGAAACTGATTATTACAAGATGATATTCAGTCAATTCTGAATAAATATCGATTCAAATCGCTGCTGTCGGTAATTATTAGTCCGACTACTACTATAGTATTCATTGCAGATGAAACGCCATGATTTATTCACTATCCGAGTCACATTTTGTTTGTTGACGTCTGCGCAACACACTGTCTAAGCAAAAAACCAACTGACAGCGCAAATACGGGTGACCGGAAGTGGTATCAGAAGTGGTCAGAAGTTATCAAATATGCAAAAACACTCATATTCTGAGTAAACATATGATAATTATTAATATTATATTACAGGAGCTTGTTACCCTGTACCAGCCGTCATGATCACTGCGGTCGGAGTCAGAATCTAATGTGTTGTGTGTCCCAAAATCTCGCACGGTGATCGACGGAAACAGGTGCTTTGGGAGGGTTTCGGCCACGTTGTGGAATAGGTTACCATCTGCTATTAGAAAGTCAAATACCCTGACCAAGTTCAAGAGGGACATCAAAACTCACCTCTTCACGTCTGCATTTTAGAATCCTTGCAAAGACGTCATGTAAATAACATCCTTTATTTGTTCAATTATGTGCACATTGCTTGCTTAAATCAGAGACGTATATAGTAATATACGTCTCTGCTTAAATGTATAAAAGTGATTGTAAGCCTTTGTTTTTGTTTCACAATTATCACTATTACTATTATCAATATGTTGTAAAGCGCTTTAGAGTAATTTTACAGATTACATAGGGCGCTATATAAATGTTGTATATTATTATTATTATTATTATTATTATTATTATTATTATTATTATATATTGCCGTTCGTTTTCTTGGAAAAGAAAGCTCTCATAATAACAGAACAAAGACGGCGCTTGGTATAATGTATAAGGTAATGTACATAGTGGAAAAGTCAGAAGCTTTGATATGAGAAACATTTTTGCAGAACGGATGATGCTCAAGAATGATCAAAAGATCTTTTGAATTCTTCAAAATTAACATACAAAAAAATGCACAGGTACACAACCTTCGATTAAAGTTATGGATGTTTGATAGCATTCAGCTGCAAAACCGTTTTCAGATTTAAATTTATTACCATATCTTACATTTATAATTCCGCTGGTTTTCTTTTTAATTATCTGTTTGTTGTTTTATTTTCATTTCAATTAGGGACGTATCGAAAATAAACTCATCGCGAAATATGACCGTCACACAGTAAGTGTTTCATTCCCTATTTATAATAAATAAGTGATATTTTCAGGGATAAAGCCTGATGGACAAATACTGAATGAATTTGCAAAAGCTTGCTAGAAAAGCAACATCATAACATTATATAGGTCCATCCCGGTTCCACAAACAAAGAGACCTAGTACAGTCGGCCAAACCGTTCAGATGAAAGCCAACCGCACCGGTCGGAAGCGAGTGGAAATATTAAAGGGGGATAACTTTAGTTGACACGGACTCTGACAACACGCGGGTAACGAAGGAATAAGGTATTTTGTTCTGTTCTCTTATTTGTGCAAGGAACGATCTGTCCAAAACCAGAACTTATCGACACAATGCATAACGTTCTCTTTTGTAGAGGAAGCTGACTGGCTGACAGTACACTATTTTATATTTGATTGAATCATGAATGTGTATTTCTTGGTTCGCATCGTGTGACCACAGCCACAGTAGTCCGAATTATTCTGACGTTTTATCAACTTTTTTCATATCGGTCTGTCGTTAATCGACGACAAACCGATATGAAAAAAGTCGATAAAATGTCAGAATAATTCGGACTACAGCCACAGGTACTCAACAGGTTGGGCACAACGGCGCATATGGGTAATAATCCTGCATTTGGGTAACATCTTTGTATGTTATGGTTGAATGCACTTCGAATCTACTTTCACTATCCTATATGTTACCCAAATGCAGGATTATTACCCATATGCGCCGTTGTGCCCAACCTGCTCAAGAGCTGGTACTAGTCTGTCAATACACCTAGGCCTATACTATAATCAATGTTGCTAACTCCGTCCCCCAAGTAAAATGACCAAGTTCCAGAAAACATGCGATTTTGTCATAATCGTTCATAGTCTGAGGCCAGGTGCAGTGTAGAGGGACAGACAAATAATTTTTCTATGCACTATAATTTTCGATACACTTAATGATGCACGAAAAGTTGTTGAATTTCAGTTGGTCAGACACTGTACATGTGCTGTCCACGGGACGACACGCTAAATCCCTAGTTGGTCTGTATCTGTATATAAAGATAAAATTCATAAATTGAATATCACATCCGAGGAGGAGGAGTGAAAAAAATCTAATAACGAACTCCCGGGCACGCAAAAACCTCCCAGGACACTCATTCTTCCCAAATAGGCATCTTTATCGACATATTTCGGTACTTTTTACTGTTACGATCGAACTTAAATTTTGCACACACCTAGATAAGTGAAAAATATTTGAGAATCAGAAGAAAAAAATGAAAAAAATCAAATAACGAGCTCGGGCATGCAAAAACCTCAGAGGACATTCTGAGGACACTCATTACTCTGAGGAGACTCATTAGGGTGACCGGAGGAGTGGGGTAAAAGTTAGTTTATGAGGTTACTACGGAACTGGTTAACCGTAGTTGCGCTGATGGAGGATTCTTTTAGGGCGTTCTAATCGGTTAGTGTGCGTGGGAAGAAGGATTGTCTGTAGTTTTCAGTGTTGCACGATATCTGTTGTAGTTTCTGACTGTTGTTTCAAAACCGAAAACTGTTCAACCAAAAGTTGTTTGTAATAACCAATAGGTATGGCGATTTTCAATAACGTAAGTGAAGTACAAAATTTAGATTTTTTATATAGGATAGTGAAAGTAGATTTGAAGTGCATTCAACCATAACATACAAAGATTCTACCCAAATGCAGGATTATTACCCATATGCGTCATTGTGCCCAACCTGTTGAATTAACATCCGGGGAGGAGGAGTGGGGTAAAAGTTAGTTTATGAGGTTACTACGGAACTGGTCGACCGTAGTTGCGCTGATGGAGGATTCTTTTAGGGCGTTCAAATCGGTTAGTGTGCGTGGGAAGAAGGTTTGTCTGTAGTTCTCAGTGTTGCACGATATCTGTTGTAGTTTCTGACTGTTGTTTTGTCGTGTGTTGGTATGGCTGACTGTTGTTTCGTCGTGTGTTGGTATGGCTGACTGTTGTTTCGTCGTGTGTTGGTATACGGCTGACTGTGATGTAGTCGTCAGCGGGTATGGCTACTAGCCCATTATTGTTCTTAAACAACTTGTCTGTGGTCACGACATCTGTCTTTCAGTGGTTCGAGTTCTAGTCTGTTTAGCATGGATGTAGCACTGCTTTCTCGTTGGTAATCTGACAGAATGAATCTTGCTGCACGCCTTTGTACTTTCTCTATGGTATATATGTCCATGTAAGGGTCCCAGATGGTGGAACTATACTCTAATACGGATCGAATAAGGGACTTGAACGCACACAATTTCAGATCCGTCGGACATTTCTTCAGATTTCTCCTAAGGAATTCCAGTGTAGAGTTGACACGGTTGGAAAGTTTGGTGATTTGTGATGACCATTTCATGGTGTTGGTGAAGATGATGCCGAGATATGGGTTGTCAGTTACCTCTTCTAGTATGGTATCACTGAGGGTGTAGCGAACGGCTGATGGAGATTTTGAGTGAAGGATCCTCATGATGTCAAAGTGATCCTGGACAGTTCTTATCGTGCTATAAAGGAGACAGTCGTCTGCGAATAACCTGACAGTGGATTTCACTGCTAGTGGAAGGTCATTGATGTGGCAGAGGAAGAGGAGTGGTCCGAGTACTGTCCCTCGGGGATTCCGGACTCAATTTGCACTGATGCTGAATGTTCACCCTCCACTAGTACACATTGGGTTCTGTCCTGCAGGAATGATGAAATCCAGCGAGTGATGTCGGGATGAACGCCATAGTGGTCAAGTTTGTACGAAAGCTGTCGATGTGGGACCATGTCAAAGGCTCTACTGAAGTCTAAAATAGCCATGTCAATTTGTTTCTTTTGGTTGAATCTGGAAAGAAGCTCCTGGGTTGTGACAAGGAGTTGAGTTATTGCACCAATGGTTATCTACTACTCCCAGCAATTTAGTGATGTGGTAACAATATTGTGTTTTTATAAACTTTGTAACTAACTAAACATTTTATAGCTTATTACCTTATCCCATATTCAGTAACACATATTTATCATTCATAAGGAAGAAGAAACTGAAATTTACATCCAGGAAAAGATGGGCATGAGTTTTCTGTATGAATCTTGTTTTTGTTTTGTAGAAAGAACAAGATGACCTTACATATACTATGACAATGAACCTTGACCTTTCCATTAGGAGCAAGGTCATCCTGACCCTGGGTGTCCCAGCCACATGCCTACTACTGTACTGGTTGCTAAGGAACCAAGATGAGGGTAAGAACACTGGGTTGTTTATTGGAGTTAAATATCCTCAGACTTTATCATCCACTGGCACATATTTACATTTCTGCTGCAAGTTCCTAGGCTATGTAAACACTACTAGAACATCGTGTTCCTAGGCTATGTAAACACTACTAGAATATCGTGTTCCTAGGCTATGTAAACACTACTAGAATATCGTGTTCGGACAGCTATGAACAGACTTGGATCCTTGCTATTTTCATGCTTCTCTTCTGCCTTGCTATACATGGAGACCATACTTAGAAGTAAACATTTTGATGAGGTTGTTTTGGGATTATCCGTTGCACAGATGTTACAAACACTTCAGAACGGAAATCATTAGGAAACACATATAGATTACTAATAGGGTAGCATTTCTTTTACGTTTTGATAGATAGGATGGATGCACTGTTGTTAAATCTTGAGATATACACACCAAACAGCTTTACCAAAAAATGTAGATCTAGCTAGATATAATATATTATATGAAATTATGTCTCCCCTTCGAATGAAGGTACTACGGGTTCTTCTTCTTCTTCTTCTGGTTCTGGTTCTTCTAATCACCACTTGTCCGGGCCATAACTTTTAAACCGTTAAAGATAACTTGATGAAACTTGAGGTATGCATGCATTACCCACAGAAGGTATGCAGTGCACTGGAATTATGTCTCGTGCTTCACTATATACAGAGTTATGGCCCTTTGTTTATTTTAATACCGAAGTTTGTCCGGAGCATAAGTTCCATGTTATTTCACCTACGTTTCACCAAACTTGCTATAGTTAGGTATCTTGAGACGTAGGAGTGTCGCATTCTAAATTCTGGTCTCGTGCCCCACTATGTAAAGAGATATGGCCCTTTGTTATTTTTTTTATTCCGAAGTTTGTCTATTGGCTAATAAGGGGAGACTTAAATTTCTAGTTTTTAAGTGGTTTAATGCATCTGTATCATCAAAATTACAACTAGTTCAATTGCTTTATTATAAACAGTTGAGTGTGGTCAGTTCTAAAAAACAATGGTCCTACAGCGGGATACTGCTTAACCATCCTCAATAGGGACGAGATTGTTTGGTCTGCAAACATGATAGTGTATTATGGTTATATGCATTGCGCCCTATCCTTTGGGGCCACGAAATAGAATATATTTATAAAAACCTGTAGAAGCCATATAATATATTATATAATTTATAAAATCCTGTGTTGGTAAAGGTGGCATTCACTGAATCCAATCATGAATATTAATAAGGTATGAATATAATTGAAACATGAATATAAATGAGATATGAATATTTTTGAATTCTTGAATATTAATGACTCGGAGGTAATGTTTTGCACCAAACAGAAGATGACGACGAGGATCAGCAAAGGGTCACAACTTCAAGACAGACAGTTATTGAGGTCATGGTCCCTTCTAAGGCTGTGGGGCCCCTGATTGGCCGACAGGGAGCTAATATTAAAAAGGTATCGCAAGCATAACAACTAACGGACAAACATCTTTCTAAATGCAGGTCACTGGATTTATCCTTACCCTAATCTTCCAAAAAAAACACATTTTTGATAAATATGTTTTACAGTAAACTACAGTTTGTTATAACCTTCAGTTTTTGCAGTAACAGTTTTAAAATGATGATAAGGGAAAATTCAAGCACATTTCAAGACAAAACCCCCCATCTGTATTTGGTGTGGTCATGGGCTTTAGTCATATAATTGTTTACCCATGTAACAGATGTTTTACAATGACTGTGGCAGTCTGATTGTACTTTGTGTGTCTGTTTATGTTTGGAAAGAATTGTAATAGAAAAGTTGCCATAAATGTGGGGGGATTTACAAATTTTCATGTGCCTTTGTCAAGTATTGATCTGTTTTGCTGTCTTGAAATTACTATGGCCATTTTAAACAATTTAACAGCTGCAGAATCAGACCGGAACAATGATCTGTTTCCGAGACGACTCGAAGCGTGATTCAGGAGAGGACCGTGTCCTGGTGATCAGAGGGTCAACCGACCAGGCACAGGAGGCGGAGCTTCTTGTCAGGAAAACAATCAACGAAATGCCTACATTGCTTACAGAGGAGATACAAGTACCAGTCAAAGCTCTCGGCAGAATTATAGGTAATCAGGGGGAGATAACTTTGGGCAGAATTATAGGTTATCAGGGGGAGATAACTCTGGGCAGAATTAAAGGTAATCAGGGGAAGATAACTCTGGGCAGAATTATAGGTAGACAGGGGGAGATAACTCTGGGCAGAATTATAGGTAATCAGGGTGAGGTAACTCTGGACAGAAATATAGGTAATCAGGGGGAGGTAACTCTGGACAGAATTATAGGTAATCAGGGGGAGGTAACTCTGGGCAGAATTATAGGTAATCAGGGTGAGGTAAATCTGGACAGAATTATAGGTAAACAGGGGGAGGTAGCTCTGGACAGAATTATAGGTAATCAGGGTGAGGTAACTCTGGACAGAATTATAGGCAAACAGGGGGAGGTAGCTCTGGGCAGAATTATAGGAAATCAGGGGGAGGTAACTCTGGTGAGAATTATAGGTAATCAGGGGGAGGTAACTCTGGGCAGAATTATATGTAATTAGGATCCATGTGCGACATCTGTGTGAAAGTGACAATTTGTTTCTAAAATATCAGTTTGAAGTGCGCTCCGGGCGCGGGTCGCATATTTCCCGCATATTATAGAGGGCCGGAGTTCTGACGTTAATCGATGACAAACCGATATGAAAAAAGTCGACAAAACGTCAGAATAATTCGGACTAACTCAGGGGTTGCCCTACCTTGACACTCAGGGGTTACCCTACCTTGACACTCAGGGGTTACCCTACCTTGACACTCAGGGGCTACCCTACCTTGACACTCAGGGTTACCCTACCTTGACACTCAGGGGGTACCCTACCTTGACACTCAGGGGTTACCCTACCTTGATACTCAGGGGTTACCCTACCTTATGCTCTCAACACCCCAGGAATATGTCATAGCAAAATTGAAGGCAGAAAGATAGCTGTTTGATTGGTCTCAGGTAAAAATAACCTGACTAATCACTAGGCTCATACCTTTGAAGATTATAGAGGAGCGACACCTAAGTTCAAAGCAAGTCAACTTTTAGGTCAACTTTTAGCTCACCTGGTCCGAATAGGGGAAACATAGCATTATAAAGCCATGATATATTTGTGAAATTGATGTTTTTTGGAAAGAGAAACACATCTGTACATGTCTCTGACGACTGGTGAAATAAATGTAAATAAAGATATCCAGATAAAATAAAGTTTATGATGCCGCGTATGAAACTATTCATTACTGTGACTTTAGTTGCAGTCAAAATATTCACACTTAACAGTGGACATAAGTCACAAAGGGACATAACTGTTGTAAAAATCAATGCAGCGTTCCAGTTTTACGACATGCAGATCTTCATTTGTATCACATCTTGAAAGATTTGTTTCTTTCTCTGTGTTTAATTTCTGTGTCATTCCAGGTAGAAATGGAGACAGCATACGTCAGATCTCCCGGTCGTCAAACGCACGGGTATATATAGACCGAGCACGAGAGGAGCCCCGTGATATCACCAAGAAAGTCTCCATCATCGGCAGTAGGGAGCAGATAGATATAGCCAAGGTAAGTTTCTATCACGGGCAGTAGGGAGCAGATAGAAATAGCTAAGGTAAGTCTCTATCACGGGCAGTAGGGAGCAGATAGAAATAGCCAAGGTAAGTCTCTATCACGGGCAGTAGCGAGCAGATAGAAATAGCCAAGGTAAGTCTCTATCACGGGCAGTAGCGAGCAGATAGAAATAGCCAAGGTAAGTCTCTATCACAGGCAGTAGGGAGCAGATAGAAATATCCAAGGTTAGTCTCTATCACGGGCAGTAGGGAGCAGAAAGAAATAGCCAAGGTTAGTCTCTATCACGGGCAGTAGGGAGCAGAAAGAAATAGCCAAGGTTAGTCTCTATCACGGGCAGGAGGGAGCAGATAGAAATAGCCAAGGTAAGTCTGTAGGGAGCAGATAGATATAGCCAAGGTAAGTTTCTATCACAGGCAGAAGGGAGCAGATAGAAATATCCAAGGTTAGTCTCTATCATGGGCAGTAGGGAGCAGATAGAAATAGCCAAGATAAGTCTCTATCACGGGCAGTAGGGAGCAGATAGATATAGCCAAGGTAAGTTTCTATCACAGGCAGAAGGGAGCAGATAGAAATAGCCAAGGTAAGTTTCTATCACAGGCAGGAGGGAGCAGATAGAAATAGCCAAGGTAAGTTTCTATCACAGGCAGGAGGGAGCAGATAGAAATAGCCAAGGTAAGTTTCTATCACAGGCAGCAGGGAGTAGATAGAAATAGCCAAGGTAAGTCTCTATCATGGGAAGTAGGGAGCAGATAGAAATAGCCAAGTTAAGTTTCTATCACAGGCCGTAGGGAGCAGATAGAAATAGCCAAGGTAAGTCTCAATCACGGGCAGTAGGGAGCAGATAGAAATAGCTAAGGTAAGTCTCTATCGCGGGCAGTAGGGAGCAGATAGAAATAGCTAAGGTAAGTCTCTATCACCGGCAGTAGGGAGCAGATAGAAATAGCCAAGGTTAGTCTCTTTCACGGGCAGTAGGGAGCAGATAGAAATAGCTAAGGTATGTCTCTATCACGGGCAGTAGGGAGCAGATAGATATAGCCAAGGTAAGTTTCTATCACAGGCAGAAGGGAGCAGATAGAAATATCCAAGGTTAGTCTCTATCACGGGCAGCAGGGAGCAGAAAGAAATAGCCAAGGTTAGTCTCTATCACGGGCAGGAGGGAGCAGATAGAAATAGCCAAGGTAAGTTTCTATCACAGGCAGGAGGGAGCAGATAGAAATAGCCAAGGTAAGTAGATAGAAATAGCCAAGGTTAGTCTCTATCACGGGCAGGAGGGAGCAGATAGAAATAGCCAAGGTAAGTTTCTATCACAGGCAGGAGGGAGCAGATAGAAATAGCCAAGGTAAGTTTCGGTCACTGGCAGTAGGGAGCAGATAGAAATAGCCAAGGTAAGTCTGTAGGGAGCAGATAGATATAGCCAAGGTAAGTTTCTATCACAGGCAGAAGGGAGCAGATAGAAATATCCAAGGTTAGTCTCTATCATGGGCAGTAGGGAGCAGATAGAAATAGCTAAGGTATGTCTCTATCACGGGCAGTAGGGAGCAGATAGATATAGCCAAGGTAAGTTTCTATCACAGGCAGAAGGGAGCAGATAGAAATATCCAAGGTTAGTCTCTATCATGGGCAGTAGGGAGCAGATAGAAATAGCCAAGGTGAGTCTCTATCACGGGCAGTAGGGAGCAGATAGATATAGCCAAGGTAAGTTTCTATCACAGGCAGAAGGGAGCAGATAGAAATAGCCAAGGTAAGTTTCTATCACAGGCAGGAGGGAGCAGATAGAAATAGCCAAGGTAAGTTTCGGTCACTGGCAGTAGGGAGCAGATAGAAATAGCTAAGGTATGTCTCTATCACGGGCAGTAGGGAGCAGATAGATATAGCCAAGGTAAGTTTCTATCACAGGCAGAAGGGAGCAGATAGAAATAGCCAAGGTAAGTTTCGGTCACTGGCAGTAGGGAGCAGATAGAAATAGCCAAGGTGAGTCTCTATCACGGGCAGTAGGGAGCAGATAGATATATCCAAGGTTAGTCGCCATCATGGGCAGAAGGGAGCAGATAAAAATAGCCAAGGTATGTCTCTATCACGGGCAGTAGGGAGCAGATAGATATAGCCAAGGTAAGTTTCTATCACAGGCAGAAGGGAGCAGATAGAAATAGCCAAGGTAAGTTTCTATCACAGGCAGGAGGGAGCAGATAGAAATAGCCAAGGTAAGTTTCTATCACAGGCAGTAGGGAGTAGATAGAAATAGCCAAGGTTAGTCTCTTTCACGGGCAGTAGGGAGCAGATAGAAATAGCCAAGGTAAGTTTCTGTCACTGGCAGTAGGGAGCAGATAGAAATAGCCAAGGTTAGTCTCTATCATGGGCAGTAGGGAGCAGATAGAAATAGCCAAGGTTAGTCTCTTTCACGGGCAGTAGGGAGCAGATAGAAATAGCCAAGGTTAGTCTCTATCATGGGCAGTAGGGAGCAGATAGAAATAGCCAAGTTAAGTTTCTATCACGGGCAGTAGGGAGCAGATAGAAATAGCCAAGGTAAGTCCCTGTCACTGGCAGTAGGGAGCAGATAGATATAGCTGAGGTAATTATATAGGTCTCCATCACGGGCAGTAGGGAGCAGATAGATATAGCCGAGGTAATTATATAAGTCTGTATCACGGGCAGTAGGGAGCAGATAGATATATCCAAGGTTAGTCGCCATCATGGGCAGAGGGGAGCAGATAGAAATTGCCAAGGTATGTCTCTATCACGGGCAGTAGGGAGCAGATAGAAATAGCCAATGTAAGTCTCTATCACGGGCAGTAGGGAGCAGATAGAAATAGCCAAGGCAAGTCTCTATCACGGGCAGTAGGGAGCAGATAGAAATATCCAAGGTTAGTCGCCATCATGGGCAGAAGGGAGCAGATAGAAATAGCCAAGGTATGTCTCTATCACGGGCAGTAGGGAGCAGATAGAAATATCCAAGGTTAGTCGCCATCATGGGCAGAAGGGAGCAGATAGAAATAGCCAAGGTAAGTCTCTATCACGAGCAGTAGGGAGCAGATAGAAATAGCCAAGGAAAGTCTCTATCACGAGCAGTAGGGAGCAGATAGAAATAGCCAAGGTAAGTCTCTGTCACTGGCAGTAGGGAGCAGATAGAAAAGCCAAGGTAAGTCTATATCACGAGCAGTAGGGAGCAGATAGATGTAGCCGAGGTAATTATATAAGTCTGTATCACGGGCAGTAGGGAGGAGATAGAAATAGCCAAGGTTAGTCTCTATCACGCGCAGTAGGGAGCAGATAAAAATAGCTAAGGTAAGTCTCTATCACGAGCAGGAGGGAGCAGATAGAAATTGCCAAGGTAAGTCTCTGTCACTAGCAGTAGGGAGCAGATAGAAATAGCCAAGGTAAGTCTCTATCACGAGCAGTAGGGAGCAGATAGTAAAGCCAAGGTAAGTCTCTGTCACTGGCAGTAGGGAGCAGATAGAAATAGCTAAGGTAAGTCTCTATCACGGGCAGTAGGGAGCAGATAAAATTGCTAAGGTAAGTCTCTATCACGGGCAGTAGGGAGCAGATAGAAATAGCCAAGGTTAGTCTCTATCACGGGCAGTAGGGAGCAGATAGATATATCCATGGTATGGCTGAGTGAGACCGACTGGTCCCTTTGTCGGGCTATGACTGAGTGAGACCGACTGGTCCCTTTGTCAAGGTATGGCTGAGTGAGACCGACTGGTCCCTTTGTCGGGCTATGGCTGAGTGAGACCGAGGACTGGTCCCTTTGTCAAGCTATGGCTGAGCAACTGGTCCCTTTGTCATGGTATGGCTGAGTGAGACCGACTGGTCCCTTGTCAAGGTATGGCTGAGTGAGACCGACTGGTCCCTTTGTCGGGCTATGACTGAGTGAATGATTTGTATTATTTACCTGTACAACGATGTGATGAAGTTATATATTTCATATGTCACATGACCCTGGACATTTACGCCTATCAATAGAGAGTGTAACACACTGTTTCGAATAATCCACATCGTACAATTCAGGGGTACTATTTTACCGTGGTCCGATGAGAATTTCCAAGAACACTGAATGTTGTATGAAAGTGAGTTTCCCATTGGTCCAATGCACAAAACAAACCAATCCAGCGCGACCTTACTTAGAACCCATGTTTTGATGAAAACAATATTGAGAAGGCTTGGACTATTTTGAGGGGTGCTCTGGATTCTAACAGTTTGGAATCCAAAGCACTGAGGTTTCAGAACAAGGATTCAACAACAGCACTAGCTGAAATAAATGTTTACATGGTTTTGGAGTCGCTAATGTTCTTTTAATATTATGCTACATACAGAAATTCAACCCCAGAAAAACATCCGTTGCTTCAATATACATAGAAAACAATAAAGTGTCCAGTTACACCCCTTTTTCAGGAGACCTTTAATTCTGAATGGTTATAAATGTATGGGAATCAGATATGAGTAATGTCTAACCTTGATTTAAAATACATTGAGTCAGTTGTCGCCATAATTATATCAAAACAAAATTAATGAAAGGCGTCTTCTGAAAAGACATGGTCTGCTGCAGCTTTCCCATGGAGATTTGTTACTATCTAGTTTTTTAAACAATAAAGAAGTAAGAAGTACCCTAAACCCAGTGATAATTTCGCTCTTCGTATTTGCTTGGTATGTTTATTATGTGTTTTACTAAAGTTTGTTCTCGTGATAAATTCACCATAATGAGGGCAAACAGGTGAAAATGAAACCGTGGCAATAAATTGTCATGTAAACAGTTTGAGTAAAGTCCTTTTACTTATTTACCCCTGACGACAAATTTAAACTTTTCCAATTTGAAGGCTAGATTAGTTCATTATAGAATTTAGAGGTGAATGAGTTAAGGGGTTGTGATTAGTCATTTAGAGTTATTTCCCTTTGTCAGAGTCTCATTGAAGAAAAGGTGGACGAGGAAGAAATATTCCGTGCCAAGGCAGCTGTGATTGCAGCCAATCGGGAACAGCGTAATAAACAAGCTTCAGGATCTATACGTCGTACTGGGCATGTTCTGACAAACGCAGGTGAGAATAACAAGTGTCCGTCTGGAGACAATGACACCTAGGTGGGTTTTTTTTTACGATTTACCTGTATTTTGATTCATTGAATCTTCAAATTCTAAATGTTATATAGGACAGATCTGATATCATTCCTATCCTCTATTTTATATAGGACAGATCTGATATCATTCCTATCCTCTATTTTATATAGGACAGATCTGATATCATTCCTATCCTCTATTTTATATAGGACAGATCTGATATCATTCCTATCCTCTATTTTATATAGGACAGATCTGATATCATTCCTATCCTCTATTTTATATAGGACAGATCTGATATCATTCCTATCCTCTATTTTATATAGGACAGATCTGATATCAATCCTATCCTCTATTTTATATAGGACAGATCTGATATCAATCCTTTCCTCTATTTTATATGATAATCTCTGTCTGACTTACCTGTTAGGACAGATTTTGTTTTTCATATTTATTTTAGGGGTCAAGATCTGAAATGAAAAATGGATCATGAAAATGTTTCCTTATTCAAAAATGGTGCAATTTTCAGAGAAGCATTCTAATGATCAAGAAGGCATTCCCACGAATCCATCATCGCCACAGAAACATGTTTCTTTGACGACACACGTTAAAGAATGGCCTAATAAAGAATATATAGAAGTGTATGTGTCGTCCGTGGCTGACCCACAACATTTCTGGGTACAAATCATCTCAACCAATGCAATTCATCTCGACGAACTGGTCCAACGGATGTCCAGCCTTTACAACACTGACCACTACAAGGTAAGATTTGATCACTACGAAATAAGACTTGATGACTGACCACTACAAAATAAGACTTGATGACTGACCACTACAAAATAAGACTTGATGACTTCAAGGTAAGACTTGACCACTACAAAATAAGACTTGACCACTACAAGGTAAAACTTGACCACTACAAGGTAGGACTTGACCACTACAAGGTAGGACTTGACCACTACAAGTTAAGACTTGACCACTACAAAGTAAAACTTGACCACTTCAGGGGAAGACTTGACCACTACAAAGAAAAACTTGACCACAACAAGGTAAACAGTGACCACTACAAGGCAAAACTTGACCACTACAAGGCAAGACTTGACCACATGTGTCGTCCGTCGCTGACCCACAACATTTCTGGGTACAAATCATCTCAACCAATGCGATTCATCTCGACGAACTGGTCCAAAGGACACAAGCCTTTACAACACTGACCACTACAAGGTAAGACTTGACCACTACAAGGTAAGACTTGACCACTCCAGGGTAAAACTTGACAGCTACAAAGTAAGACTTGACCACTACAAAGTAAAGCCTGACCACTACAAGGTAAGACTTGACCACTACAAAGAAAAACTTGACCACTACAAGGTAAACCTTGACCACTACAAGACAAGACTTGACCACTACAAGGTAAGACTTGACCACTACAAGGAAAGACTTGACCACTACAATGTAAAACTTGACCACTACAAGGTAAGACTTGACCACAACAAGGAAAGACTTTACAACTATAAGGTAGGACTTGACCACTACAAGGTAAGACTTGACCACTACAAGGAAAGACTTGACAACTACAGGGTAAAACTTGACCACTACAAGGTAAAACTTGACCAATACAAGGTAGACTTGACCACTACAAGGTAAGACTTGACCAATACAAGATAAGAAATTGACCACTACAAAGTAAACCTTGACCACTACAAGGTAAGACAGAGTTATTCTAAGTGAAAAAATTATGACCACAGATTGCAAAGCATATAAACAATTTTAATTATAGTGACAAAATTGCTTTACATCCTTTTTATTAGATATACATGTATATAAATATTTTGGGGTATTTATTAAGAACCTGTCAGATGATCAGTACCTTGTCGGAGACTTCGTCGCAGCATTGTATGAGCAAGACAACTCGTGGTACCGGGCCCGAGTGATGGGTATAGAAGGGAGTCAACTGGACCTCTATTTCCTCGACTATGGTGATAGTGGATACTCACACATCAGCAATGTTCGTTTGCTCAGGTAACTAGACAGGTAGAATCAAGAAAATATAGATGATTAGAAACAAGTTTCATATCATTTTTTTTAAGACAAGCTTCAGGGAGTTTCATAAATATTACTTTGAAAGGTAATGAATCGGAGAAATTTTTATTATGATTGTCACAAAACTGACAAATTACATCAAAAATTTGACAAGGAAAATGCAGAAGAAAACTTGGTATACACTGTATTTACTTTCGTTGGATATTGATAAAGTCATGATATTGTTTCTTTGTAATTTCACTGAATACAAACGCACATGTTCATTGATGGTCTACAAAAAACTACAGGGGAGCATTATATCTATAAACGTGTTGGTGATATTTCCTTGTTATTGACAACCTTCTCTCTACAGGGACGACTTCTTACTACTACCATTCCAGGCTGTCCAGTGTTGTCTGGCCCAGGTCAAGGCCAAAGGTCAGTAACTGTAGTCATTATAACCTTACAACTGATTTAGAGGGGCTGGCTGGCATTGTATAGGGTTCCCCTGTAAACACAGGTCAAGGCCAAAGGTCAGTATCTGTAGTCATTATAACCTTACAACAGATTCAGAGGGGAGGGCTGGCGTTGTTTTGGGTTCCCCTGTAAACACCGATCAAGGACAAAGGTCAGTATCTGTAGTCATTATAACCTTTCAGCAGATTCAGAGGGGAGGGCTGGCGTTGTATAGGGTTCCCCTGTAAACACAGATCAAGGCCAAAGGTCAGTAACTGTAGTCATTATAACCTTACAACAGATTCAGAGGGGAGGGCTGGCGTTGTTTTGGGTTCTCCTGTAAACACAGGTCAAGGCCAAAGGTCAGTATCTGTAGTCATCATAACCTTACAGCAGATTCAGAGGGGAGGGCTGGCGTTGTATAGGGTTCGCCTGTAAACACAGGTCAAGGCCAAAGGTCAGTATCTGTAGTCATTATAACCTTACAGCAGATTCAGAGGGGAGGGCTGGCATTGTATAGGGTTCTCCTGTAAACACAGGTCAAGGCCAAAGGTCAGTATCTGTAGTCATTATAACCTTACAGCAGATTCAGAGGGGAGGGCTGGCGTTGTATAGGGTTCCCCTGTAAACACAGATCAAGGCCAAAGGTCAGTAACTGTAGTCATTATAACCTTACAACAGACTCAGAGGGGAGGGCTGGCGTTGTATAGGGTTAGCCTGTAAACACAGGTCAAGGCCAAAGGGCAGTATCTGTAGTCATTATAACCTTAGAACAGATTCAGAAGGGAGGGCTGGCGTTGTTTTGGGGTCCCCTGTAAACACAGGTCAAGACCAAAGGTCAGTATCTGTAGTCATTATAACTGGCAGACCTACAAATGAAGGCTCGCCGCAAAGCAGCATCAGATTACTTGGTATGACCTTATTTCATAAACGAACAACTGTGGTCCAACTGGATCAACCGTTTGGATCGTGATAAACGAAAGCGGCCCAGGTTCCTCTGACTAGCCATACCATATTCATAACAACAAACAGACCTGACAAGTTTTAAGAACACCATTACAAGTGATGCCTGTTAATTAAGCTGGTACTTGTTCATCATTGTACGTGATGACACAGCATTTAACCATACTTGCCAGCTCTCCCTATCTTGGAGAGAGACTCCCGATTTTGGATCGCTGAAATTCCGTTTTTCAACCAAACTATTCCTTTTTTCTAAGATCTGATGATATATTCTGAAAGAACAGCTCAAAAGATGCCATTTAAAGGTGTTAATGTTTCCCTAGGGTGTATATAACACATGTTATTTATGCTATTATTCTGAGCACGTAAAACTTCCCCCATGGAAATTAAAATAAGTTGTCAAGTACCCGGTATGCATTCTGGTTTGGTATTCTTGTCTAAATTTTGACGGGGAATGTTATGGTATGGGGAGTATCCATTTGTCCACCACTCTTCCTTTTGACGGGAATGTTATGGTATGGGGAGTATCTATTTGTCCACCACTCTTCCTTTTGACGGGGAATGTTATGGTATGGGGAGTATCTATTTGTCCACCTCTCTTCCTTTTGACGGGGAATGTTATGGTATGGGGAGTATCTATTTGTCCATCCACTCTTCCGATTCCTTTTTCATTCAATATGAAGAAACTTAGGAAGCGTGTACAGTATAGAAAGGCTAAGCTTGAAGATGAGCAAAATTCATACAGAATTAACTGGCATACTGCTCTGTGATTGGTTGAAGGTTTCTGCACAATAACTTAATCAAATAAAACCAAATTTTGATGAAACTTGGTCCACATTTATACAATGTCTAAGGTGGGATTTGAGCAAAATCCACCTTTAATTAAATAACATTCAGAAATTAAGATAGTTTTAGCAAGAGAGAAAAATATGGCCGACAGAGGAATCTGTATACTATTAAAATCAGAAGCATTAACATTAAAAACAGAAACGTAAATATACATGAAAGTTTACATTATTCAAGATCTTATAGTTATCTCATAAAAATATTGTAGAAATAATATAAAAGGATCAATTGTCTGTGATTCAGATGTTAGGATACAGCTAGCTGGGTACACTGTAGAAAGTATAACTTTGTAGAGGAACTCGACTGGGTCAGTTGTTGGCGACTAGGTAGCTCATTTAGTGTCTGCTAGAGTTCAGAGGCTCTCAGTTCAAATCCTGGTCTGGCTTTGTATTTTCCACTGTTACAACTACCATGTCACTGTGACCCTGTTTCTCCCCCTGTTTAGGTGAGGACTGGACTGAAGATGACGTAAACCACTTTGAGGATATCACATACGCTGCCAAGTGGAAGGTCCTTATGGCAAAAAGGATCGGAACAAAGTGCGAGGGGGATGGTGAAACAACACAAATTGTTCAGCTCATAGACACAAACTCTCCTGTGGTATGTAGCTATGTACATGCAGTAATTCTCTCGTCAGGAAGTAAAATGTAATTGTTACAAAGTACTTATCAATATTCTAAGTAACACTTGACTGTTCTGTGAAGAATGGCAATATTACAAGATGAGTGAGGAAAACCATTACATAGAAAATACATGGTTGATTTAATCAGGATTAAGGAATGACAAAGATAAGAGTGATGAGCTGATGAGTGATAACTTTAAGATACTGTGTATTCTATTTAATATGTAACCCTTCAACATAGGCTATATTTAACAACCCATAGTCACCAGTATTTGAGTATACAGTCGAATCTGATAATACAACCATCTGTATTTAATGACTGTCTGTTTTATGCAAACACTTTTCATTCATCCTGCCTGATTTAACTGTGTAATTGATCTGTTTTAAGTGAACAGCGACCTCCCATTACACCCCTCCCCTGAAGATGAAATATTATACCACGTGTACTTGATTCGTTTCAGGACATTCACGTATCACACGAGATGGTCCAGTCTGGATTCGCTGAATGGGACATAAAATGAATCCCAGAAACTGAAGAAACTGGAATCTAAAGAGGTTTTTAAACTAAATATCCCGGCTGTGATTTTCACAATGTTTTAGGGTTTTGTAGCTTCACTTTTGGTCAGCTTTAATTCAAGATTGAGTTGTTCATGTTTCAGTAAAGCTCTTGTTTATGTTTACAGAGTCTAGTTGCGGTTGTGAAGAAGATGAAACAGTTTTAAAACCATAAAAGGAGTTTTTATGTGAAAAATGTTCAATGACCAAAGGTTTTGAAAACCTTTCAGGGAAATAATTGTCTTCTATGTTAAACAAATGCTTTCAAAAATGTCTGTTTCCTTTGTCAAGCAAAGAGTGTACACACACTGGCTTAGTGAGTTGAGGGGCCGCGGTGGCCAAGTGTTTAAGGCGTCTGACATTCTGCTACCACTAGCCCTCCACCACTGGGTCGCGGGTTCGAGGCCTACGTGGGGAAGTCGCCATGTACTGGTTTTTCTCAGGTAACTCCGGCTTTCCTTCACGGATAACAAGGATTGATAGGACTGGGTCATGATGTCACATTAATGACAACAGAATGATGTCGTAAGATTTAGGGATTTATCCTATATTAGCCTAATGTATCTCCAACCCAAAAGAGTTCGAAATATAAAACCTGGTAAAGTTATGATGAGAACACTAAATTGTTCATACTGTAGTTTAATTATGATTTTAATTCTGGTTTAAAGAAACCAACTGTTATACCTTGTTTCTATATCCTTATTTGCTTGAAGTTTTCAGTCAGCATATTATGTATATTGTTTCAAATGAAAAAAATCAAAGTTAAATATAATTCAAGGGGAATAACTGACATAAATCATGATTTTTGTACAATATGACATTTGTTCTTATCAAAGTTTGAAAGGCACAGAATATCACTGTATATCAATAAAAATATATAAATATATATCAAATATATGATTTAATCAGTTGTAGTGATTGTATGACTACTTTTCCTTCACATATAAAACATGAACAAAATAAACCTGTCAGATCTGACACCCTGTGTAACACAACATACTGGTTAGAGTAACCTGTATAATCTGACACCCTGTGTAACATGACATATTGGTCATATTGACCTGTCTTATCTGACACCCTGTGTAACACGACATATTGGTCAGATTAACCTGTCAGATCCGACACCCTGTGTAACACAACATACTGGTTGGAGTAACCTGTATAATCTGACACCATGTATAACATGACATATTGGTCAGATTGACCTGTCTTATCTGACACCCTGTGTAAACCAACATATTGGTCAGATTGACCTGTCAGATCTGACACTCTGTGTAAACCAACATATTGGTCAGATTAACCTTTCAGATCTGACACCCTTGTGTAACACAACATACTTGTTACAGTAACCTGTATTATAATCTGAAACCCTGTGTAACACAATATATCAATCAAATCAGATTTACATTTGGGGTGGAGTGGGTGCAACTTCATAGAGAAAAAATGTAGTTAATTTTGTTTTCTCATAAGTGTGTTTATTTGTGTGAGGGGTGGGGGAGCGAGGGATGGAAGAGGAGGGAGTTGAAAGCTAAGGTAAAGGAAAGGAAGAAGNATTAGACCTGATAAATGTTTATTTGAAGGTGGATGACATTTAAGTCATACAGGTATAAACATTAAAGTCATACCTAAATAGATTCAATATCAGTGTTTCTTGTTTGTTATGTTCACATCTGTGACAGGAGAGGGAAAATGCACAGCCAAACTGGGGTTCAAACCCGGGACCTCCGATCTTTAGACAGACACTCCACCGATTGAGCTACCTGGTCGCCCACCAGGAGGTCTCTGATGTCTAGACAGACACTACACCGATTGAGCTACCTGGTCGCCCACCAGGAGATCTCTGATCTCTAGACAGACACTCCACCGATTGAGCTACCTGGTCGCCCACCAGGAGGTCTCCGATCTCTAGACAGACACTCCACCGATTGAGCTACCTGGTCGCCCACCAGGAGGTCTCCGATCTCTAGACAGACACTCCACCGATTGAGCTACCTGGTCGCCCACCAGGAGGTCTCC